GACCCCATGCCCCACACCCCACATCCCAGTATATACCCCACACCTCAGGCCCCACACTCCATACCCCAGGTTGCACTCCCCATACCCCATACCCCAGGCCCCCCAACACCTGTGGCCTCAGACCTCCTCCCTTACCTACCTGCCCCTGCTGCCTGCCTCTTGGCCTCGTTGCCAACACCTCCTCCAGCCATCAGCCCCACCCCTCAACTCCTGTGGACCTCTCCTGCCCCATCGGAGGGCAGGTGTTCTTGGGGATGCTGTTGTGGAGGGCTCCGCTGTGTCAGGGGCCCCTTGGAACCGGCCCAGAAGAGACCCCACCCACAGGTGCCCAGGTGTCTCTCACAAAGCCTGCCTTGCTCATAGCCCAACTATGAGGAGGGGACGAGGGGGGCAGGGGACACTTGGGGAGTGCCTCCGGCTGGGCCCACTGATAAAATCCACATGCCTCCAGCTGCCTCTTCTCCTGGGAGCACCGGCCCTGCACTGACCTGGGGTGTCCCGCGCCTGACCTTTGTGCTGCTGCTTTGTTTTCGGGCAGGAGGGCCTGGCAGAGTCTGGCGTGGACGTCCACGTGGTGGCCACCCGTGGGCATCGTCAGGAACTGTGGCAGACGTGATTGAGGCAAGCTCCCGTCCTGGGAGGGCGGCGGTGTCGACTGCCTTTCTCGGGGGACCCGCCACCGAAAGGGGCCGGGGACCCAAGACGCCAGCCGCATGGGGTGGGCACGGAGCTCCGGCCCTGAGCAAGTTAACTGGCAGCCCTTCCGGGGGCCTCCAGGGCCGAGCTGCTCACAGCCCAGAGTCCCCGGGGTCTTGTAATGTGTCCAGTCTCTGCAGGAGGCGGGAGCCCGGGAGGAGTTGCTAATCCAGAAGGCCAGAGACTGGTCTCGGGGAGGAAGTCAGATCTTGACTTGGTGGTTTGTGGGGGACTGAAGGGTCTCTTCAGAGCAGGGAGAGCAAAGTTCAGAACATTTAGAACCCTGCTTTTAAAAGCCTAAAAAGCTGTGTGGCTCTTGGGAGATGTATGAGAGCCCCTGGGACTCTGGCTCCCGAGGGGGAGGGGTGTGGCAAGGGCACAGCTGGGGTGACCTCAGAGCCCGGACCCTGAGAATATAGCGGCCAGGACTCCGCCAGCATCTGGAATGCACTTGAGAACAGCTCTGACCACGGAAAAGCCCTCTGAGGAAGATGGTACAATGTGAGCCGAGGCAGGAGGCAGACAGGACCTCGTGACTGGCCAGGTGACCTCATGTCTGCCACGGCCATGGTCTCAGCTGAGAGTGGTGAGGTGGCCGGTGTGCGGTCCCCGGAAACCCTGAGAGGGCAGGGTTGCCCAGAACGGGCATCTATAGGCCGTGGAGGCAGCTCCCACGTTGGTCCTGGACACTGGCTGGCACGGCCGCACGGGTGGGGAGGCCCACACAGCTTTCTTTCGGGGACGCGGTGTGCTTAGCCAGCTGGTTCCTGAGCACCCGGGACCCCTGCGCTTCCATTTCTCCATCAGGGTGGCCGTGAAGCCCCTGGAGCAGGGTCTGTCCTGAGTTGTAGGCCTTGATTTCAGCCACATGGCCAAGTCAGACCCGTGATGGTCCTGGGGTGACACAAACACTGTGCCAGCTCAGGCGCTGTGGTCTCACATCTCTGGCGACGGTTTGGGCCCTGCATCCCCAAGAGGGGATGAGGAGGAGGGCAGGGGGTGAGCCTACCCCCTCCGAGCCAACATCATCCATCTGTCCTATGGCAGATGGACCCATGGTTCCAACAGATGTTTTCGGAATGTCTTCTGCTGGATGGGGCGAGGGACACAGTGCAGAGGAAAGGGCCACGCCTCTACTGTCACAGAGGCCACAGTTTAGTGCAGAGACACTCACACAGAGGACGCAGCTGCCGTGTGGCTGCAGGGGGGTGACCAGCACGGGGGAGTCCACAGGGTGTTGTCCAGGGTCAGATCCAGGAAGGGTCTCGAGGGTGAAAGTGGAAGATGGGCCAGACCCCAAGCGAGACAAGCAGTGATCCCAGAGGTCTGAGCTTGAAGCCAGGTCACCCAGGGCTTGCACCTGAACACCTGCTGTGGGCTGTAAGTTCAGCTGGGGCACTGGGGGAGGGCAGGGCACACAGCTGGGCACACAGACGCACAGCCAAGGCCGAGCTGCAGCAGCACAGGATGGGGCTAGTCTAGCAGGGGCCTCCCTCGCCCCGAGTGGGTGCTGCAGCGTGCGGGAGTCTGGGGGCCTGCGGCCGAGCACCATGCACACACGTTCCGGGTGGCAGGTCTCTGGAGGCTGGCAGAGTCCTCCCCTGCCTGGGCCCTGGCTAGGTGGCCTCAGTGGCAAGTGCTGGTGGTGTGCCTTAACCTCAGAAGAGGGGCCCAGGAGAGCTTCCCAGACCTCATGGCCAAGCTCTGGTCAGCAGATCAGGTCTCCCGGATGAGCTTGCAGTGGGAGGTCAGCCCATGGGGGCTGAGCCCATGGCTGCAGTAACGGTCTGGTGGTGGCTGGATGTGGGCCTGGTGCCACCAGGACAGGGATGAGGGTCACAGGGGACTGCTCCAGGCAGATGAGGGCTTTGTGAGTCACAAGAACAAGGAGGCAGTTTCTGGGAGTGAGTTAGGCCAGGCCACGGGGACAGGAGTATCAGGACATAGGGACAAGAGGCCCCAGGACACAAAGGCAGGAGAGTCAGGACATGGGAGGGGGGCTGTGGCCCACAGCTTTGGCCCCGGCTTCTTCTGACCCCCACAAAGCTCAGGAACCTGTCACCATCGGGGGTCCAAGGGCCTGGCTTCTGCAAGGAGGACACCCAAGTTTCCTTTTTTATGCAGCTGGCGGATGGTTTCCAGAGGTGGCCAGAGCTATTTGAGGAGCAGATCTGGTCCCTTGCCCCGTCTCTGAGTTTGCTGTCAGGAAAACAGAGCTGACCCTTCCAGCTGACCCTCAGTCAGGGTCCAGCCATGGCAGGAGGCGTTCTGAGGCAATCTGCATCCCTCACTCACCCCCACCCAGAGGGGCTGTGACTGAGACCCTGGGCGGTAGGCTCCCGGTGGCCTGTGCCTGGCTCTGGGGGCAGCTGGAAACTGTCCGGACACCTGGGGCTATCTGGGGGCAGCAGGCAGGCCCAGGTCTCAAGGTGCTGTGTGCACAGAGGCAGGGGGGGTGGGGTCCCCTGGGGCTGGTGTGCAGCGGTGTTGCTGACGCACAGGTGTCCAAGGTGCCTGAGAACAGCCCTGACCTCTCCCTCCAGCCAGTCCTCCCAGACTGCTCCCTGGCTCGGGGCTCCGGGCAGAGCTGGGGCTGCCTCTGTGCCAGGAGAGCTTCCGTCCCCCCCAGGCTGCTACGGAGTTGAGCCAGCAGCAGCCGTGTGGATGTTCAGGGCTGTTGGAACAGCACCTGCTCCAACACCTGAACGACTGGCCACAGTGTTGGCACCGCCCGGGACAGAGCGAGGCCCTCTCCTCCTCTCCCCCTGCAAGCCTGCCCGACAGGGTGTGGGCTCAGCCCTGGCCTCCCTCTCAGGGGCCACTGGCTCAGGGTCAGGCTCGGTTGGCATGCGCCTGGGGAGGTGCCCCCAGAACAGGGATGTTTCCTCTGAGTGTCCCTTCCATGAGTCTGGTCAGAGGAGAAGGCAGGGCGAGGGGTGAAGGGGGCCTGGCCATGCCTTGTGCCGACCTGTGGGGGTGAGGCAGGAGCCCCAGAGGCCCCCTTCTGGCTGGCGTCTCCTCTCTTATATGGCAGGCAACATCTCGATTCCCTGCTTCCCTGTGAGCCGGCCAGGCAGGGGACCCCACCCCAGTGCCACGCACACCTGCCCACCCCTCAGGCCACTCTCACTAATTACCCTGCTGTTTGCCACAGTCACTGCATCCAGCAGATCCTGGAGGCGGTTCTCCATTGCCACCAAATGGGGGTCGTCCACAGGGACCTCAAGGTGAGTCCCCCACCCTGCTCTGTGCCAGGTGTCTGTTGTCTGTACCTGCATGTCTTGCAAAAGGAGACCCCGGAGGAGCAGTGAGCATGCCAGGAAATGCTGTGTGTGGGGGGACATGTGCACGTATGTGTGTGCATAAGCAGATGTGTGTGAGAACGTGTGCAGGTGTGCATGTGTGTACTTGTGTGGGTATGTGAGTATGTGTGCACAAAGGCAGGAGAAATGTGTGCTCACATGTACGTGTTTGCACACGTGTGTGCATGCGTGTCCGTGTGATGGTGTGTGTGCATGAAGGTGTGTGTGTGCACGAGTGTGAGGTGTGTGCCTGAAGGTGTGTCATGCATGTGGGTGCATGCAGACGTGTGTGCGCGTGCATACGTGTGTGTGCATGAAGGTATGTGTGAAGTGTGTGTGTCATGCATGTGTGTGCATGAAGGTGTGTGTGTGTGTGCGTGAAGGCGTGTGTGCGTATGCATGTGTGTGAGGTGTGTGTGCATGAAGGTGTGTGTGTGTGCATGCATGTGTGAGCACAAAGGTGTGTGTATGTGTGCATGCATGCGTGTGTCTGCACACGTCCCTCCAGACCCCTCCAGGCTCCAGGATTGAGAAAGGGCAGGTGTCAAAAATCAGCCTATGTCTACTTGGGGTGTTTTTTTCTGGGCTCCAGGTGAGGCTCAGACCTGGCGTGGGGCATGCAGGTAGGGCTGATGCCAAGGGAGCAGGGGGTGAGGGGCCGGCCTCCCTGCTCTCTGCCAATGTCCAGCCCAGGCTGCAAGTCTCTGCTGCCCCAGGCTCAGCTCTAGACAAACTGGTTTGTCACCTGCAGGGCACAGCATGGCTTCAGGAGGAACAGCAGCCCTCCTCCTCCCCCTCCCCCTCCCCTGCCTCCTAGTCTGTCCAAGCTGTGTTCCTGTTGGCTTTTTCTCTGGGGTGGGGGTGGGCGTGGGCCTGTCATTCCTGCAGAGAGTCCCCAGGTGGCCTTTGAGACCAGCCTTCCCATGGGATGTGTGCTCACACTGAACGGGGTCACACCTTCCTTGGGCTACCAGGGTGTGTGTGTGTGTGTGTGTGTGTGTGTGTGTGTGTGAGCTGATCTTTGCGGCGCTGCTCTGGGGACGAGGTCCCGCCAGGAGCAGGCTCAGGACCCCCTCTCTGCATGTCCCACATGGTCCTGTGGCCCTCTGTGCCTGCGCTGCCGGCCTGCCTTGTCATGAGTCTCCCCTCTGTCACCGTATTTTGTGGGAAGCAGCATCCCTTGGAGGCATGCATCCCCACCTTGTTCATGATTCATAGCTATCTTTGGGGCCACGGTAATGCTCCCCACAGCCCAGCTGTGACCCTGGGGGCAAACAGCACCCTTCAGCCTCCTGCCACGTGTGAAGGGCTGAGTGCCCTCCTCTGGAGAGGGCCCTGCCTCCTGGTCTCCTGACTGGGACAGAGCCCCAGAGGCCCTGCCATGGTGGGTTTGCTCTCAGCCAGGCGGGGAGAAGGGAGGGAGGAGAGCGCACAGGGGCTGCAGGGGGCGGGGCTCTGCTGCATCCCCTCCTTTCCCAGGATCCCCAGCCCTTCCCTGAGACCAAGCTCACTTAAGTCTTGCTTCTCAGGAGTGCGGTTTTGTTCTCTCTGATCTGTGGAATTCAGGTCAACCCCCCTGGCCGGCCACAGCTGTGCCCCTGCTCTTTCAGACTGCTTCATGTGGATGCAGGAGGAGGTGGGGGGGTCTCCTACCCGGCTCACGTGGGCAAAATGAAGGTGTTCAGGGGCCTCCAGGCTGTGCTGGGTGGGCAGGGCCACATGTCCCCGTCATGTGTCTTCTGTAGGGATGGAGCCCAGAGGGTCCCTGGTTCCTGCCACAGGGCAGCATCCTTCATGGGTTCCAAGGGCCTCTTATCACGATCTAACACGTCAGGGTTACAAGCAGAGTTTACACAGTTGTGTGGGTGGTGTTTACCCTGAAATGGCAGTGTGGTCTCAGTGGGCCTGCCTTTTGGGAGGGTGGCCTGGTGAGGGGGCTGAGGGCCCCAGGAGCCCCTGGCCTGGTCACTGATGGGGAAGTCCAGAGGCTACCACCGCGGGAGGTGGCCTGACCAGGACGGGAGGGGCCCTGTGTACAGGACTCAGTGTACAGGGACCCTGTTGGGCCCTCGGGCCACGTGTCCCCAGTCAAGGACGGCAGCCCCCTTGGTGCTCTTGTGGGATGGGGATGAATGTCATTTCAGCTTGAGCAAGGCTGCTGCTCCTTGAGGCCAGGCAGGCGGGGAGTGGGACAGCCAAGCCAGAGGGACTTGGTGGGCTGATGTTCCGAAGTGCCCGGGCTATGGGGCCCGTGGTCCTCCTCCGTGCCCTCTGGGGTCACCATCCTCAGGCAGCCCCCCACCGTGTCTCAGCGCCCAGATGGGGGCATGGGGTGGGGATGCTGCCTGCTAGGACTTGTAGGGTGCCTTTAGTACGGTCGCCTCCCTGGGTGTGAGCCCACTCCCCTCTGTCCCCGGGAAGGTCACAGGGTGTCAGCCACGCCCGGGGTGGCCCCCACAGGGCAGCCTGCAAACCGATCCCTCCGTGATGCCTCGGGTGTAACCACACGCCCACTGGCTCGTCGCCTTCCCTGCAGCCTGAGAACCTGCTCCTGGCCAGCAAGTGCAAAGGGGCTGCAGTGAAGCTGGCGGACTTCGGCCTGGCCATCGAGGTGCAGGGGGACCAGCAGGCTTGGTTTGGTGAGTGTCCTGGTGGGCTGGGGTGGGGGTGGAGGTGGGGTGGGG